CCCTTGTTTCCTCTCTCTCTCTCTCGTTCTTTATCTCCCTCTTTCTTTCTCTCTCTCTCTCTCTATCTTTCTCTCCGTCTCTCTCTCTCTCTCTCTTTCTGTATGTCCCCTCTTTTTTTTCCGCGGAGGGGCGGGGGAGGGATGAGGGCAGGGGAAGATGAAGAGCATGCGCAGGAGATAAGTCTGAAAATGATGAGGAGGAGCATGTGGCGGTGCTTGCGCCAGGGGGGCGAGGTGGGCATCATTAATACTTCGCCAGCAAGGGGAGGACGATCATGCATAGGAGTTGGATGGAGGAGGGGGAAGAGGAGTAGGACAGCGAGGAGGAGGAACATGATGAATGCTAAGTGCGCAAGAAGGCACCGTTCCAGGAGCGGGAGACGACTTGGAAGCCCCACGCTGCCTGCGGACCGCGGGACTGGCCTGGCCGTGAAGGGAGTACGTACACCCTTGCACCACTGGAGACAACACACAGTGGGCGACGGGTGTGCCCCACTGCGTAGGGCCACGACGAAAAGATGAGGACGAAGAAGAGGGGAAGGACGATGAGAAGGAGGAGAAGGAGTAGGAGTGCAAGGAGGAGGAGGAAGAGGAGGAGGAGGAGGAGGGGGAGGAGGAGGGGGAGGAGGAGAAGGAGGAGGAGCAGCCTGGGAGGATGACCTCAGTCAATTGTAAATTTTGCCAGTGAGAATCGGCGACGGCGGCGACGACGCCAGCGGCGACCACGACGGCGGCGGTGACAGTGGCTACTGCGGTGGCGGGCGTCGGCGACAGGGCAGGCGACGGCGCTGACGACGACGCCAGCGGCGGCGACGTCGATGGCGACGGCGACACCTGCGATTGCGGTAACGGCGACGACGGCACCGGCGAAGGTGGCAACGGCGAAGGCGGCGACGGCGACGACCAACGCCGCGACGGCGACGGCGGCGAGAGTCCCTGGCCGAAAGTGTCACCGGCTCTTCGTGCCGTTCTGGAGCTCCCTGGGCACCCTGGGCCTCGTGAGGGGTGCCCCGGAGGCCACGGGGGCCGCCCTGGAAATCCTGGGGACGCCGTCGGCCAGGGACACCATTGGCAACACACGACTGTCCTGCAAGGCAAGGGGGCAGGAGAAAGGGCGAGGGGGGCGCACCTGGAGCCCTTCAATGCCCGCGGCGCTGAAGGCGGTGCTGCAGATCGGCTCCCCCTCGGGGAAGCATCTCCGCAGCATCGAGGCCTGGCTGCGCTGGCGCTGGCTCTCGGGGGCAGTGCTGGGCTGGCGGAGGCCGCCAGAGAACGGCAGGCACATACGATCCACAAGAAACCTTCCACAAGAAATCCCACCCTGAGACCCGAAGACGTCCATTGATTTTGGTGTGGGAGCGTCGCGCTTCCCATGGGAAAATCATGGAAGCCCGAGAAGCCCAGGGCACCCTGGAGACAAGCAGGGTGTGCCTTGGCATGGGTCTCCAGTGTACGACGTCTTGCTGCACGAAATCTTGGGGCACATTCGTGTTCGATCGTTCAGGGCTCTGGTGCTCCACAGCTTCTCTGGGGCCACTGGGGGATGCGGCACTTCCGCGGGGCAACGGCTGGCAGAACGATGTCCCCATTGATGTACCCACTGTACGGCATGTTGGCGCCGGGATGACGCGGGTGCGACCTCAGCGTATGCGTTCAAGGTTGAACGTCGCTGGTGGCCTGGTATAGGACGCAGAGGACCATCACAAAAACACCACACTGATCAGTACTGTGCGCCTCCCCTGGGCGGCGCACGCCCGAACCCAACATATATAAAGCAGAGATCTCGCAGAGCACCGCTGCCCGGAAGGTATGGCCAGAGAGCGCCCGCGCTGGCCACCGAGCGTATGCTGACAGACTCCGGAGCGCGCGCGACGCCCCCTGGGGGCCGACGCGCACACACAGTGGCAGCATGTCTCGGCGATGACGGCGGAAAGGTGGGCGCTTTCTATTCGGCGTTCCTCCCCTTAGCGAAAACGGCGCGGGACCGAGACCGGCGGACCTGGAGCCGCAAAACTGACGGCCGCGACGCCCTCTCGCGAACCGGAAACGGCCAATTCGCTAATCGACGTGTCAGGGTAGGAGGTCCATCAACCTCTGAGTTTCGCTCGACATTGGGAGGAAGGGGGGAAGGGGGGAAGGGGGGAAGGGGGGGGTCTGGCTTAGTGCGACTGTCTGCAGCAGTGCGTCCCATGGGGGGAGGCTCCACCTGCTCGAAACAGGCGCCCAAAACAGCCAAGATCTACTCCAGGGGGGAGGGGGGGAGGGGGGGGTTGCAAGGGCCCGCGCCGATCGGCAAAACAATGAATAAAAAAGCGATCTCAAACGCCGACATCGAACGATCCTCATCGGAAAGCCGCGATCGGTCAAGGCTGAGCGATCCACGCGCTGTCAGAAGCCAACGCCCGCGTCAACACGGCAGGAGTCAGCCGCCTGGATCGTGCCGTGACGCTTTCGGCATTGATTTCTGATAGCGCGTAGCTTCCCGCCCCCCCCCGGTAGAAGAAGAATGGCAATGATCAGGCCGTCTCTACTTGACTCTCCCGCCGCCGGCATCAGTGATTAAGGATTAAGGACAAACATGCGTTCTGGAGGGTAAGATCAGTACGACGGGGCTGGACAAGCAATCGTGAAATGGCGCGACACACGCTTCATTATGACACAGCTTACCCCCTTCCTCTGACAAGCACCCGCCTTCGTATACGTAAGCCCTTCCACCTCTCCCACCCTGCGCCCGCTAAGCACACTGACCGCCAAAAAACTGCGTACACTTACAGACATCCTTCTTTCTTTCGCACAGCTCAAAACCTCACAATGTTTCCAGATCGGAGTCGTCGTCTTGACGGATGTAGTTGGGGAATCTTTCGTTAGAACCTGCCGCCATGTGAAATGGACAATCGCAATTCGGTGCGGACGACTGTGGAACCCCCTCCCCCGAGTCTTCCGAATGCGGAGAAGCTTCCGACCCTCAGTTCCTATGAGAATCTGCCTGAAGGCCCCCCCCCACCGCAAGGCTCGGCCTACGGACCTGCCCTGGTGCGCGCTCCGTCCAGAGCTTACGAAGGGGAGCCCACCGCGGGCCGCGGAGGCAAGAGCCCCCCCCCTCACTGGTGGCACAAGTAGAAGTACAGTCAACCCGTATAGTAAGGATGCGCGATAAGGATGCAGGGGCCTTGGAGGGCCATTTCGACGCTTTTCGAGCGGGGCACGGCCAGAGAAAGTGGCCAAGGATGGGCCGAAGGGACGAGGATGCAAGGGTATCCTTGGGGAGGTTGCCCATCCTTCTTGTGCGGGTTGACTGTAAGCAGCATCGAAGTCATCCTTACCCTCCTCGTCCTCCTCAGGCCTGCGACGGCACGGGATGTGGGACCTCGGGGCCCCAGACCTCTCGACCCCCCTCTCCGCGGGGGCCGGCCGCTCGGGCTGGGCCGTTCTCTGGCCATCGCTCGGACGTCCATTCCCTGTGCTTTTTTCGGTTTCGTGCGCGGTTTTTTCGCAGGATGGTCCAGGATGCTCCTTAATAATCCCAGCCGAGAACAAGTGCACACGTCCGACGGAGGAGCCGGGAGATGGGCCTCTGGAGGCCGAAGGCGCAGAAAGCACCTCGAAAGTCGGGGCACTCCCCTCCTCGCTCGCCCACTCCCCCTCAAGATCGCAAGCCGCCAGGCTGCGCCCACCTGCTCCACGCGCCACTCGACCTTCCGCACCATGCGGGAGCGCATGAGGTCCACCTGGGAGAGATTGGCGAGGCGCGGGCAGTGGCGGCAGATGGCAGCCGGGCAACGCGGCGCCCTCCTCATCCGGCTTTCTTGTCTCTCTTTCGGCGCCGGTAGAAGCACGAAGCCTGCACTCACGAGCCTGCGATGCGAGAGCAGCAGCGGCATATCAGTTCGCGGTGCAGGGCCACACGAGTTGCCCGTGTCCGAGGCGAACTACTGCTGCTTCTCCTCCTCCACCTCCTCTTCCTCTGGACCTTCTGGGGGCTCCCTCATCGCCACGGCTAGACGTGCTCGAAAAGCAAGTCAGGAGGGTGCCCGGGAGGGGTCTGGGGAAAGCTGCAGTTATCCATCCTCCAGACCTCGCAAAGAACGGCAACAGAAAAGCACATGGGTGGAAAACTTGCTCCCAACCACGACAGGACGCGTATTCCGAAAACCACATGTTGGCATCGTTGGAGGAGGAAGAGGGGGAGGGGGAGGAACGTGACCAGCCTCCCCGTCCCCCCCTCCCTCTCCTCCTTACGGCCTCTTGGGCGTCTTCTTGGGCGCCCTGACCGTTCCCCGCGCTCCCCCTTTTGAAAGTGTGGTCATCGTTCCTGTCACCGGGCAGAACGAGGCTCTGTTGAACCCGTTTCACGTGTGGCGCGGCGACCGTGCTGCTCCGCGGGTAAGTTTTGCACGCGCGGGCCACAGCACACCCACCACCGCCTGGAGCGCGAGGTCCAGCACGGGCTCCGCCAGTTGGCAGAGGCGGTGACGCCGCGGGTACGCATGGCGGGAATCGGGATTCTGCAGAACTCCAACCCAGAGCGCGCGGAAATCCCGGATCCTGGCGCCCCCGCGCCTCCACGGCCTGCGGGAACCGGCACGTTGTAGAACTCTAGCCCGGAACGCGGCAATCCTGGCTCCCGGCGCCCCCGCGCCCCGTGGCTGGCGGGCACCGGCGTTTTGTTAGAACTCTGGCCCGCAACGCGCAGAAATCTGTTCAGCGGAGGAGGGCCGAGCCCAGTCGCGCTCCCATGCGCTCCCAGCGTGGCGACACCCGCGGGGCCGAGCAAAACCAGGATAGGAGGGGAGCCGCTTTGGTGTAATCAGGGGTCGCTGAAGACAAACTGATCCACTCCCCCTCCCCCTCCTCCTTCTCAAGCTCCTCTCGAGGAAGCGCACACCTGGACTAGCGACGCGTGGATCAGGGACGGGTCCCGGTTCCTTCAAGCATCGGCGCGTTGCGTCGCCAAATTGGTCGGCATTCGCCTTACGTTTCGGGGGGCACCTTCCCCGATCCGTGGATCTGACGCCAACGCGCCAGATCGATGGATCCCTAATCTATGTTAGCGTGTGCTGCATCCTGCTTCTGCTTCTCCTCCTTCTCCTCTTCCTCCTCTCATTCTCCTCCTTGGGTCCTTGGGTCCTTGGCGTATCACATCCTGCAGCTGCAACACGTGGCACAACAATAATATATCATCTAAGCGATCGGCACTCCAAGGGCTCTCTCGCGCACCAGCGGGAAAGACTTCCAGAACCTTTTCCATAAAAGGGTACGCCTCTCCGACCTCGCAAAGACCGCGCGCGCAGCTCTCACTCGTGGGCTACACAATTCCCACGTCGTGTGTCGGCTGGGCCGCGCCACATGTCACACCAATGAACTGGCGCTTATATCTTCCCCCATTTCCGACCAAATGTCTTCAAGATTCAATTGACCGCCAAAACCTACATCGACGTGTCAGATCTCCCGGTTAGCCCCCCTCCTTCCTTCTCTCTCCTACTCCCTCTCCTCCTCCTCCTCATGATCACCTCATCCTCCTGCTCCTCCTCCCTCCTAGCCTCCTATTCCCTCCTACCTCCTACCCTACTCCTCCTCCTCCCTCTACCTGCTCCTCTCCTCCTCCTCCTCCCTCCACAGTTAATCAATAATGAAATAGCTCTCCATCTTCCCCTGATTGGCGTCTAGCTCCGGGTGATAGCCGCGCACCCTCCGCGTCGTACTGTTTTCTAACACACAGCGCTCGGCATGTCGTGGATATAGATAAGCACGGGAAACGACTCTCACTGAGGCGCCGGCGTCATATTTTCCCAAAATGCTGCTCTCGCGCCGGCGTCATTTGTTCCCAAAATGCTGCTCTCGTTGAGGCGCCGGCCTCATTTCTGTTCCCGAATCCTTCCCCTGATGGCGTCCATGTGATAGCCGCGCACCCTCCGCGTATTGTTATTTACACACAGGATGCCCGGAAAATCCCGGGAAACGACTCTCGCTGACGCGCCGGCGTCAGTTTTTCCCAAAATGCTGCTCTCGTTGAGGCGCCGGCCTCATTTCTGCTCCCGAATCGTTCCGAATCGTGCTCCCGCTGCAGCGTGGGCCTCATTTTCGGATCGGTGTTTGGCCCCCGTCGTTCAGGATGGCGTTCTCGCCCCAGCGCGGGCCTCTTCCTCGTGCGCCCATCCGCCCGCCACCACCGCGCCGCACCGCCACCACCACCACCACCACCACCACCACCACAACCACCACCAGCACCAGCACCAGTACCAACACCACCACCACCAGCACCACCACCACCACCAGCACACCACCACCACCATCACCACCACCACCACCACCACTACCACCACCATCACCACCACCACCACGACAACCACGCACCAAGCACCAGTCCAACACCACCACCACAGCACCAGCTCCACCACCCCAGCTACCATCACCACCACCATCACCACCACCACCCCACCAACCCTCCACCACCACAACCCACCACGCACCTTGCACCAGTACCAACACCTCCACCATCCTGCCCACCACCAACCACCAGCCACCACAACCTCACCAGTTTACACCACCACCACCTCCACTTCCACACCACCACCACCACCACCACCACCACCACCACGACAACCACGCACACACGCACGCACGCACGCGTGCACCACCACCCACTACGCACGCGCGCGCGGAGCCACAGGTCCGCTACGACACGCGTCCGCGGATAGAGAAAATCAGCGCCATGGTAAGGGATGGGAGGGAGGGGTAGGACGTCAGATATGACGCGAGCGCACCTAGCTTGTCCCTCCCCCCTCCCCGTCCTCCCCCCTCTTGACCGCGGCTCGCCTGGTGCCTCACCTGGTCAAGGATCCTGTTGTTGACGTTCTTCCGGAACCGGATGGTGCAGTCCAGCGGCCTAGGCGGCGCCCCGAGGGACGTCGTCGAGCTTCCATCGGGGAGCGAGCAGAAGAGGGGTGAGGAAGAGCAGAAGTAGGAGGAGAAGGGGGATGATGAACAGGGCGAGGAGGAGGAGGAGGAGGATCAGTGCAAACCCAAAGGTCGCCAACGATGTTGGAATAAGCCCTCCCCTCACGCTCCCTCTTCATAGTCCCCTGCAACGGTTCATTTCCACAGAGGGACCTGCCTCGTTGGAAGGCAGCCGTTCGAGGACCCTGAAGCATGCCAAAACATTATTCTCGCCATGCCAGCGCCGCGGATAAACCTGACTGTTGCGTCTTGACGATCCTGAATCGTGCCAGAACGCCATTCCTGGGACTTCAACACTGCGAATCATCGTAACTGTTGCGCGCTCATAATCGCGAATCCTTCCAAAACACCATTTCTGGAACGTCGGTTGTGGGAATCCGTGAAACTCTTGCGATTGTTTACCAAGAATGTGCGCGGCGCTATGGCGAAAACCACATTTCAAAAAGGAATAGCCTTCAATCCGTGAAGCTCTGGCAAATGTTTTTTTTTTTTTTTTTTTTTTTTTTTTTTTTTTTTTTGTTTTTTTTTGTTTTTTTTTTTGTAATATACGCTATATATATATTTTATATATATATATATATTTATATATTTATATAATAAAAAAAACGAATGTGCGCTGGGGGCACAAGGTGAACAACCACATTTTGAGGTGAGAACCACATTTTGAAAACCACCCGCCCTCAACCCGTGAAAATTCTGCAAATTTTGAAAGCGAATGTGCGCGGAGGAGGAGGAGGAGGAGAAGGAGGAGGAGGAGGAGGAGGAGGAGGAGGAGGAGGACGGAGGAGGAGGAGGAGGACGGAGGCTACATCCGGAGGATATTGCAGCCATCAGGAATCAGGAATCAAGACGAGGGGGTGCAGCGCCATGTGGCGCGGCAGCTGCGCCAGGCGGCGGGCCTACGGCGAGGAGACGACCGAGGGCGAACGCTGAGCGCCACGAGGCCGAGGAGGCGGCGGGCTGTGGGCACTATTAGGCGCGGACGAGGCGACCTGCCGAGAGGCCTTCCAGCCTGGCGCGGCCCGCCACCGACGGCCAAGCGGCGGCGGCCGGGCGGCGAAGCTGCCGGAGGGCCTCCTGGCGGCGGGCGGCGCGCGGGCGCGGCGCGGCTGGGCGCGGCCGGGCGCGTCGTGGCCCGGGCGCCGGAGCTCCCCTCGGAAGCCTCCGGAGCCGCGCTGAAGGAGGAGAGCGGTGAGGAGGACGTGGAGGAGGAGGAGGAGGAGGAGGAGGAGGAGGAGGAGAAGAAGGAGGAGGAGGCCGAGGAGAGCGAGAAGGAAACGAGCCAGAACAATGTGGAGGAAGAGGAAGAGATGGATCATGGAGGACATGGGTGATGATCATGGAGCGCGAACGGAGAAGGATCATTGCCAGAAGGAACAAATGAGGAGGAGGAGGAGGAGGAGGAGGAGGAGGAGGAGGAGTTGCCAATCCGCATGATGCCCAGCTTCTTCATCGCTGCGCTTGAGGGAGAGACGCCTTGCGGTGACTGAGTCGGGAGAGGAGGAGAAGGATGAGGAAACAAGCGTAGAGAAGAGGAGGAGGAGGAGGAGGAGGAGGAGGAGGAGGAGGAGGAGGAGGAGGAGGAGGAGGAGGAGGAGGAGGAGGAGCATCAGCTCTGACTAGTGCGAGCCTGAGGCTAGGACATGAACCGAAAACCATCCTTGCTGCGTATCCTCCTCCTCCTCTGCTACTCTCCCTCCTCATCCTCCTCCTCCTGCTCCTCCTCCTCCTATTCTTCGTCCTTCCATCTTCTCGCCCTCAACCTCCTCCTCCTCCTCCTTTCCACCTCCGTCTCCGGCCCGTCTCCTCCCCCGCAATGTCGCTGTTCCTCCTCTCCACCACTCTCCCCTCGTCCTCCTCCTCCTCCTTCTACATCTCCTCCTCCTCCTCCTCTTCCTCCTTCTCATGCTTCTTCTCCTGATCCTCCCCCATGTTTGTTCCGTCCCTCCACCGTGCTTCGTTCTACTTGTTCCGCCCCTCGACCCTCGCTTCTCCATCCTATCCCTGACACGCCACAGTGGCGTAAACATAAAATAACTCGGAGGTCCCACCTTTCTTCCACCCCTCTTTTTTTGCGGTCCCCCCCATTCCGCAGCGCCCGAAAACGTGCTCGCTGCGATCTCGTCACGACGACAGAGGCGGCGTGGGCCTTGCGATCCAGGAAGGATCCCAGAACACCCTCCAGAGCCAAGGCCACAGCGACGGGGGCGACCGTCTCTGACACTCCAGCGGGTGGGGTTGCCATGGCACAGGCCAGGAGGACAGGAGGGGGGAGAAGAGGATGTCAGGGATAGGATGGAGAAGCGAGGGTCGAGGGGCGGAGAAAGTAGAACTAAGCACGGTGGAGGGACGGAAAACATGGGGGAGGATCAGGAGAATAAGCATGAGAAGGAGGAGGAGATGCAGGAGGAGGAGGAGGAGGAGGAGGAGGAGGAGGAGGAGGCGTGGGGATTTGTCTGACCATCCACGGGTGCAGCCCAACGATACGACAAAGGGTTGGCGACATCCTTTGAGGGGCGGTGCAGGCGCCGGCTGGGCTGTGAGCGCGGGCTGCCAACAAGGCAGCGGGCGCTCACGAGCGAAGCAGGCGCGACTCCGCGGTCAGCGAGCCAGCTGCAAACGAGCCGCCTCTCGGCCTGAGAGGCGAGGGCCTCCAGGCGAAGCGCAGGGCAGGCAGCGCTGGGACGAAAAACGCTGAAGGAAGAGAGCGTGCCTGCACAGCGAGCGAGCTCCTCCACGAGGACCGCTAGGGGTGCCTCGTGAGTAGTGCCCATGAGTCAGGGACCCCTGACCAGCACGCTAGTCGGAGTTGTCCGACCGCGAACGAGTGCCGACGGGAGGGAGATCTCCGCCTTCCTCCCTTCAGGCTGCAGCAGCACGCGCGAGGAGCTGCCGCGCCTCCTCCCTCTCACCAGGCGGGGCCACAGCAACAGGGGGCAAGGGCGAAGTCGAGCAGGCGCGAGCTGGGAGGCAGGCTCCTCCAGCCTGGCGCAGGAAACAAAACAGAAGGTGGCATAGTGCTCGGCGGCTGCTGAAGCCCGCTGCGCTTTCCTCCTCCACCGTCCGACCCAGACTGGACGACGACCACCTCCTCCTCCTCCTCCTCCTCCTCGGCGGGAGCGGGCACAGGGGCAACAGACGGACAGTGGTCAGATGCGGGTTCCAGAGGTCGATTCGCTGCCGCCGACCCTGGACTGCAAACTTCACCTGCAGAAATCGCGTTGTCTCATCCACCGTCCGACGGCGACTGAACGACGACTCTCTCCTCCTTCATACTCGCTGGCGCGCCCGCGAGCAACAGGCTGTGCAGCTCAACATTGGGGAGAGGTTAGAACGGGGTGAGGTTGACGCGGAGGTGGTCCTCCCACGGGTGAGCCCCATATATACAATTGTTGAACGTGGTGCGGCCATGCCGCTTCATGGTGCCAAAGCAAGCCGAATAACGACCGCTTTTCTGGAATTGTCCGCGATGCAGAAGTGCGCCGCAGGCAAGGCATAAAACAACAATCTGCCATTTCAGAACAGCTGGGAACTTGCACACTGTGGCGAAGCCTGTCCGCCTCATCTAGCAGGCCACCCTCGTAATGAGCAGGCCCCTTACACTGGCCAGGTGAAGGGACCTCGCTTGAGCGGGAGCCGCGAAGACAGACAGTGCAACGCGAGAACATGCCGCGGTACGACCACTCGTGCGCCGACCGAACGGCCACACGAACCGGTGCTCTCTTCATCATTCACATATTACGTCTTTCCCATAGTACAGCTACATCTCATACTCTCTTTCACTAGTTACATTCCCGAGCGCAGGTTCCGCAGCGACCTCAGGCGAAGAGACGGTCTCAGATCACACTACATTCAGAACAGCGTCTACGCCAGCACAGCATCACTTGCAAGGCCAGTTTGGCCAAGCACCACATCAGCTTCGACGACTACGTCTTACGCCCACACCAACCACCACACGACAACCACGTCGACTTCCAACCCTGCCTGGCTCCGCAGGGAACGGGAACAGAGAGCTGCAGCACGCGCGCTCTTACGAGTAGCATCAGCACTTGATCGACTCGCGCACCACAGCGCAACGCAGCCACCGCGACATCCACCTCAAGCTCCAGCAATGGCGACGTCATGGAGTGCAACTGCGAGTGAATAGGGAACGGCACTGTCACCATGGAGGTCAACATCGAGCCGCCCACGAAGCAGAAGCAAGCCAACTGCGCCGAGACCCACCATACCGGCAATTGGAGCGGGCTTGGCACACTGGGACAAAAACACAACTTGACGGACCAGTGGGCCAAGGAGCACCCCGACGAGAACCGGGGCCAAAGCCACAGCCACAACAACAGCCACATCGGCAAAGGAAACAACTACAGCGGTAAGGGAAAGACCGCGAAAGACGGCACCGAGACTGACAATTGGACCCCGAAAGGCAACGAGAAGTTCAACAAGGGCGAGAGCAATACAAAGCATCAATATGATGGAGAAGAGCAGAAACAAAATCCATGAGGACACTCAGAACTACAACGACCACATCGCCAATACCATCAACAGCGTCATGCCCATAAGGAGGATCTACGCTACAGGGAGGCACGACTGGGAGCTACCGCCCACCGACTCCAAGTTGAGGCACGACTCGAAGAAGATCAAAGACATCGAGATGAGGCAGTCCGCAACGGCCATTGCCAAACATAGTGCAGCAGGACAGTAGACCTACAACAGATGCCGTGACGCGGACCGCCTTCATCAAGGCCATGATCCTCAATAGTATGTCACTGGCCAAACAGACGAGAGAGATCGAGACGACGAAGCAGACCATAGACGATTACTACGAGTACACCAGGGCCCACTTACAAACTATACAGGTCTACACGGGCGAGCTCGAGAAGAAGATCGAACAATTTACCATTCTCCAGCGGCGCATCAACAACGCCAAGGACGACCGGTAAAGCGACAACAAGGCTGCCGACGACGAGGCCGACAAACCACAACGAGAGGTATCACAAAACAGGATCTCCATCCCAGCGCCAAGGAGACAGACAAGGGCCGGTGAGACTGCAGAAGGTCAAGACGTCGGCACTTTGCTGAGGAACCTCAAGGAGGACAACCAGCGCATGGCATACGACATCAAGAAGAAGAGGACCGACGCCAACAACGAGATCCAGGACCTAAAGAACCACCTGCGAAAGGCAGAATAAACAACTCAAACACATAAGCATGACCGACAGTCAGAAGCAACCAGGGCACAAGGGTACCTCAACGAGCTCCTGAACGAGATCCAGAGCGCAAAGCAGACAACCGAGAAGATGGTATCCCACCACAAGCACATGCAGATGCGAAAGGAGGCGGCGCTCGAACCGAGGAGGAGCTGGAGGTCCTGCGGAAGACCAAAGCCAACGACCACATCCAACGCACACCATCGACTGAAAGCTGGAGAGGGAATCATACTAAGGAGGAGGAGAAGGAGGAGGAGGAGCAGGAAGAGGAGGAGGAGGAGGAGGAGGAGGAGCAGGAGGAGCAGGAGGAGCAGGGGGGGAGGCAGGGGGTGGGGGTCTGCCAGGGAAGGGGGAGGAGAAGCAACTGAGAAAGAGGAGGGGAGGAGGGGGAGGGGAGGAGGAGGAGGAGGAGGAGGAGGAGGTGGAGGAGGAGGGAGGAGGAGGAGGAAGCAGCAGAAAAGAAAGCGGGGGAGGAAGAGGGGGAGGGGGAGGAGTGGACGAGAAGGAGGAGGAGGAGGAGGAGGAGGAGGAGGAGGAGGAGGGGGAGGAGTAATCAAGAGCAGGAGAAACAGGAGGCGGGGGGAGGGAAGAGGGGAAAGGGGGAGAGGGAGGAGGGAGAGGAGAGGGAGGGATGAGGTAAAGGGGAAGGAAGAGGAGGAGGAGGGCGAGGAGGGGAAGGACGAGGATGGATAGGAGGTGGAGGCGGAGGAGGAGGAGGGGGCCCCGGCTTCTCGGCACGCGGAACCCCCGCGGGCCCCCAGCGCTGGCGCCGCGGGCCGTCCTGCGGCAGGCCCAGGGCCCGGGCTGGGGGCGACCAGCGGCTGCGCAAGAGCTGCGACAAAAACTGCTGAAAGACGAAGAAGACTCATAAGAGGAAGACGAAGACTCATAAGAGGAAGAAGGAGAAGAGGAATAATACTCATAATAATGATAAGAAGAAGCGGGAGAAAAAAAAGAAGAGTCGGCGGCGCGCCCAGGGGGGAATGCAGAGTGGGCGGGCCTTCGCAGAAGGGTCGGAAGGGCCCCAGCCTTGTGAGCAATTTTCTGAGCGTTCTCCGAAGACAGGCCCGGCTTCTGAGGAGGCCTCAATGCTTCTGAGAAGCCCGGCTGCCTGCCTTCTGGAAAGGCCTGCCCCCTCTCACTTCCCCCTCCGGGCCCGCCGCCGAAAGAGGAGGCCGTGAAATCTGGGAGATCCCATGGGCTCTGGCCACGATGCCCACCCTCTCCAGAGGAGCGGGAGACGGCATACGCATAGACTTTCGGAAGTCCGCGCGGATTGCTTGGGGCCCCGGAGATGCCGCTACGGGGGTCCAACGCCGACCGGACGAACCCGCGCGGACCTACGAAACTGTATGGTTATGCCGTTGGTCTTCTTCGACCAGAAGAGACGAGGACGAGGACGAGGACGAGGACGAGGACGACGAAACGACGACGACGACGGCGAAAAGACGACGAAAAAACGACGACGACGACGACGACGACGACGACGACGACGACGACGACGACGACGACGACGACGACGACGACGACGACGACGACGACGACGACGGCGGCGGCGGCGGCGGCGGCGGCGGCGGCGACCGAGCCGCTGACGGGGCTGCCAGGGCCGCGGCCGCTTGTCCACATGTTGCTCCTCGCCGTCGGTCGCCTCCTCCGACGGCGCCGGCTCTGGGTTCGTGACTATGTGGTCCACCTTCGGCGGGACCCCAAGCAAGAAGAGGGCAGGAGAGATTGGGACTTCCTCGCGTCGTGGAACATTGCCTTTCACCCGGCGTCTTCACCCCACCCAGTTCCTGGCCCTGGGACCATCACGGATCGGTCTGGCTCGAAAAATGCAGCAGACAGATGGGGTTTATGGCTCTGGTCGAGTTTGATAGCGATGTTGCGATTTTTCGTGCCGTCGGATGCAAAGTTTGTTTAGCAATGTTGAGCCCCCGGGAGCGCTGGGACCGTTACAGAACGACTCGGGGTGCAAAGCCGGCCCTGGGGAAGAGGTGCAGACCTCTCGGCGCTGTGAAGAAGCCATGACATGGGAAACGATGACGATGACGACGACGATGACGTCATCGACAGAAACGTCATCGTCATCGTCATCATCAGGGGAAGATGGAGGAGAGACAAAGCCGTCCCCGGCGACGGCACAACGGAAAACCCACCGAATGGGGGAGCGAAGACCCCGAGACCGCCAGCAAGCCCTCCAGGAGGGCCCCCAGAAGCCCCGGGGGGCCCCCAAGAAGTTCAAATCGGGTCCCAACGAGGCCACCCAAGAGGCCCCCGACATCCCCCAAGAAACCCCCAAACCGCCTCAACCAATCTGCCGAGAGGCCTCCCAGGGGATCCACATAGACATCCAAGAGGGCTCTGACTTTCAACCCAGGCGCGATGCAGTGATGGCGGGGTGGCCCGAAGGCCGCTAGATATCCGCCGCCCTCTGTGCTTGCCACGGGTGAGCGTTTCCTGATTCGGCGTTTCGACGTTGGGCGGAAAATGAGGGGGGGGAGGTGGGGCGTCTGGCTTTAGACCTCTGCTTAGTGCGGCTGTCTGCAGCAGTGCGTCCTATGGGGGAGACTCCACCTGCCCGAAATTGGCGCCAAAGACAGCCAAGATCTACTCCATGGGGGGGGGATAAGGGGGGGGGATGCGAGGGCCCGCGCCGATCGGCAAAACGATGAACAAGAAAACGATCGCCAGGGGTCAAGGGCGTGCCGAACGATAGTTTGCTTGGGTCCTTTCTCAAAGCTCCCAGTGGGTCCAGGCTGATTGTGCGACCGCGCCCAAGACGGCCCGAAATCTGCACAACGCCCGCCTCGAGTGCAGCCAAGATGATCCAAGATGGCCTCCACGTTCGCACAAGACAGCTAAGACGGCCCCAAGAGAGCCTCTAAGACGGCCCAAGAGGCCTCCAAGAGGACCTCCAGGAATGCCCGAAGAGGTCAACATCAATGATCTGCCGGAAACTTTTGAAGGATTTGGGCGTTTGCTCGTTTTCGGCTTTCCGACGGCCCAGGACGGTCCAAGAGGCCACTAAGATGGCCCCAAGAGGGCTCAAGAGGCCTCCAAGATGGCCCCATGACGGCCCCTGACGGCCCAAGATGTCCCCATGACGGCCCCGAGAGGGACCCAAGAAGGCCCAGGACACCTCCACGACGTCCAAGATGGCCTCCAAGACGGCCCTGTTGCGCCCCAAGCGGGCCCCAAGTCTGCTCAGAGAGACCCCCAAGATAGCTCCCGACGGCATCAGACAGGCGAGAAACGCGCAAGACGGGCGGAAATTGCACAACGCCCGCCCCAGAGAGGCCCAAGCAGGCCTCGCCCCCAGGAGGCGCCCAGGAGGCCTCAAGAGTGCCACAAAATCTCCCAAGAGGCCTCCCCCTCCTCTGTCTTCCCTCTCGTCCTCTTCCTCTCCCTCCCCCAATGCTTCGCGAAGAGTTCCCGCAACGGCTGGGGGAACGCGCAGTACGATAGCGTGGCCGAGCTCTGGCCACAACGTTCGGCCACATGGGCGCTTCCAAAGGCAGGGGGCGGCGGTGATTCGGCGGTTCCGCGACGCCTGGAGCTCTGGCCCCTGGAGGTCCCCGGAGGTCCTCCCACAAAGGTCCCTGCGGGGATCCCGTGAGGCTTCCGAAAACCACCAGGAAGGCCTCGGAAGGGCACGCACGCGCCGCAATCGTCGTCGTCGTCGTCGCCGTCGTCGTCGTCGGCCTGCTTCACGATCTCCAGGATCTCCACGCTGACCTGTGCGCGGCAAAGACATCCCGGCCCCACCGAGCCCGGGGCGTGCTTGCGCCCTCCAGCCACGCTCGTCGGGTGCCGCACATCATGCGACTGCGACCCCGACACCCGACGACACGATTTTCTCGAATGGCCAGCCCCAGGACCTTTCGATCCATTCCCTGGGACCGGCTTCACATCCTCTACCTGTCTCGGCGGTCATCACAAAGCCTTCGGCTCGAGATCTGTTAACTATAGACATCCCGAGACAGCCACGCGTATTACCGAGACGTTGCCGAAGGCGGGTCGAGATGGTCCAACACAGCCGAGTGGACTGCCCAGATGGCTCAAGCCCCCAAACAACGGAAAGAAACACTTCTTCCCTGGCTGAGAGAGAACCAGACCGACATTCAGTTACAATAAAAAATTGAAGCCGCTTGCGAAATCATGGTTCATACATATGATCGCGTCCTCTTTCAGGGAGTGCCTCGCCGCCCTCAAAAGCATGGCGTGCCCCGCATTGCTGGCGCTTCAGGCGTAGGGGGCGGGACGAGCCAAAAAACGCAACCGCCCCCCGAGGGCGCACATACGCACTCCAAGGCGCGCCCGGCCCCCCAACCGAAGTCTCCCGCCTCCTCCTGCTCATCTTCCACGGCCTCCGTCTCCGCCCGCTTCGTCGCCGACGTCGTGGTCCTCTTCAGGGTCGGCGGCACCGGCCGTCAGGCCTTCGCAATACGTACTCCAAGGCGCGCCCGGCCTCCCAACCGACGTTTCCCGTTTTCCATCGAGGGGGGATCAGGGATGGCGCCGCGGCGATGGCAGGCTCGGCGACGCACCAAGCAGAGAGGCGCGCAGCTAGCCAACCACCCGACCATACATGAGGCAAGCGGTCACCTGTGGCGCCACTTTGGCACATCATTCTGGGACTTTGTAGGAAGCCTTTTGGACGCCTCTCAGGCCCTCTGGGGGCCCTCAGAGAGCCGCCAAGGGCCGTCTTGTTGACCTGAAGGAGCCCCCAGACCCAAGAGGGCACCAGAAAGCATTGCTTCCAAATCAACCTGGCGGAGTTCGACCGGGGGCTCACTGGAGTTGATCTTGGGGGCCTCTGCGGGCAGTTGTGGGCCTGCAAGATTGCTCTACGTAAGCCACGAGCAGATCCCAGCAAAGCTCCAAAAGACCCAATGGCGACACTACTGGCGACACGAATGGCGGCACGGCGACATATTGGCGACACCAATGGCGACGCAAATGGCGACATGACTGGCGACACACTAATTGCGAAACTAGTGGCGACAGTAATGACGACACTAATGGCGGCATTAACGGCGACACTAAAGCACGGCGGTGGCGGCACTAACGGCCACAGTACTGGCGACGCTAATGGCTGCACGACTTCAGCCACCGCCCAGCCACGATCACGGTCACTAGTCGAAAAACATTAATTTCGCTGCCCCGGTCGAGGGAATTCATGCTTTTGCGTTTGTGTCGATACCCCCCGCGTTCGGGTCGAACCTTTCCAATTTCCCCCCCCTGCGTTGCTCGCTGCCCGACCGCTGTCGGAGCACTAATGACGACGTGAAATAGCGACGCTAATGGCGACACTAGCGGCGACACTAATGATGAAACGATGGGCACCACCAGTGGCGGCTCTCACGGCGACGCTAAGTTAGTGGCGACACGGACGGCGGCACTGATGACGACATGCGTGCACGTCCTCCATATAACCCCCTCCTTTTCCACTGGGCGCACCTCGCGACCGCATTGACAAGTCGCACGGGGGGCCCCTCCCCATCCTTCCACTACTCTGAGGTCGGGCGCGTTCTCCTACAGGCGGATTTTGGGCGAAACTTGTACAATAGCCACACAATGTCCAAAGAGGGTTAAACATAGTAGCACAAAAAAACAATCCCCAAATATGTTTTTGGGGGGCTATTTTTCAATATTCCTCCTGTAGAGGGACAGGCCCGACTTAACACTACTTCTCCGCAACTGGTTTGGGCCATTCCCGTGTGCCGACCTGCCAGTCCCCCCGGCCCCTTCTATCCAGGCGATGGCGATGTGCGGCCGCTCGCCCCAGACACGGGCAGATCGCCCCAGCCGCGGTTGGGCCCAGCGGGCACCGGATGGATGGGTGGCGGCCACAGAGGGCGGGGAGCGGGCGGTGCTGGGACAGCTGCCGGAGGGCAGCCGAGAGGGGGACCCTCCTCGGCATGGCCTCGCCTTGCATCCTGGCCCGGCCCTCCTCGGACAGGGCTCTGGTGGGTGGGAGGGAATCCACCTCGGGAGGGGGAGAAGCAGACCCAGACCAACCAAGAAAAAGAACGCGCGGAGAAGGAGGGACAAGAGACGGAGCAGGAAAATCTTAACGGGGAATACGTGTGCCAGAAGATAAAGCGGATGGAACATGTTACGACATGGGGTCAGTCAAAATTGGAAGGGCGTGGGGGGAGAAAAAGGTCTCTGGAAACTCAACGGGTTGCAGCGGGCCCACCCTTCCCATGGCGCTGACTTTTCTCTATCCGCGGACCTGTATCATAGCCAACCTGCGACTCACACGGGAAGACGACTTCCAGTTATGCAAAATTGAAAAAAGGGAGCTGCGTGCACAGGAAGAGGAGGAGGTGGCGGGTGAGCAGGATGATGGGCAGGAGGAAAAGGACGAGGACGAATACCAGCAGCAGGAACTAAAGCGGAAGGATCGGGAGGTAAATGAGGACCAGGAGAAGGCGGAAGAGGGGAAATGAGGGGGGGCGACAACGATGAATAAAGACTCATATTCAGAAAAGTGGCCCGCGCTGGGGCGAGACCAACAGCAGCGACAGCAAGAACTCGAGTTGCAGGAACGGGAGGACAAGAAGGACCAGGGGAAGGCGGAGGGGTAACGATGGGGGGGACCACGACGAAGCAAGAGTCGGAATCAGAAAAGTGGCCCGAGCTGGGGCGAGAGCGCCATTCTGAACGACGGGAGCAGCGAGCCGATTCCAAAATGAGGCCCGCGCTGCAGCGGGGTCACCATGAAACACCGAAAACAAATTGATTACAAAACGCCATAAAACCGATCAGGTTTCAGGGATCTGGTGTAACAAAACAGAACGCGGAGGGGGCGGGAGATCTTGCGGACAACTTCAGGGGAGGAGGGAGAGTAGTATTCATAGTGTTTATTTGTAAAAATGGAAAGGGGGTACAGTAGAATGTAGCACGATGGACCAATCGCGAAAGGATGAACCGCGACCCAAACAACAGGCCAGAACACGGTGCTCGGCTTGGTTAGGGTTTATCTGCCAGCGTGTCCTTGAAACACGAGTTGAATTATCCTCAGGTCCCGCGTTGGATCCCCTGGAGCCCCGGTCGCCAATCCCGATGCTTCAACGGGCCTGGATCCAAAATTGCCAAATCAGCCAGGCCGCGCCGCGTGGACCCTGTGGCGCGTCCAGGGTGTCTTCCGCATGACTTTTTCGGCCCAAAATGACCCCAAGACGGGCCGAGAGGGTCTCAAGAGGCCGCACGATCGGTCCAAGCCGCCCAATATGGTCTCCGGTCAGCCGAAAATGCGCCCAAGACGCCCCGAGAGGCCTCCAAGAGCCTTCCCAAGAGCGCCCCGAGAGGCCAACAACCTCCTTTCGTTGATCAGTGTTTTCGGGGCCCTCGCCTTCTCGAGCTTCCGACGCTCCACGATTGCCCAATTAAGCCCAGTAGGCCCCTAAGAATGCCCGCAGACGGTCCAACAGGGCTCGAAAACTGCCCCAAAGGCGCCGAGGACGGCCCAAAAGGGCCCAAAGCTCCTAGAGGGGCCCAAGAGGGGGAACACGAATGGAAAACCCAGAAGGCTCCCAAGAGACCCCCCAAAGGCCCCCAGGAGACCCCAAGGGGGCGCCAGGAGGCCCCCAACAGGCCCCAAGAGACCTCCAAGAGGCTCCCAGGGCGTCCTCAGAGATCCTCAGAAGACCCCCAAGGGGCCTCCAAACGGCTCCCCGCGACATCCCAACGCACATCCTAGAGACCTGTGACCCACAACCCAGGCACGGTGGCAGGATTGACCGAAGGCCATTCGATATTTGGACCACTTGCCCCCGTGAGTTCTACTAATACAAGGTTCATGCGCAGGTGTGGGGGAGGCTGAGCACTCAGACCCAAGAGCCCAATGCTGCACACTCCCATAGAAACCACACGTAATGCAGAGCCAAAGCTGGAGATTGGCTCGATGTAGCATGCTATGGCCAGAATGTGCGACACCGCCCCCGACACGCATGGACTGACCCCCGGCAACCTTCGGAAATCCGATTTCTGCTCTGGGATAAATTCGTACTTTGCGGCGTAGCCTTTGCATCGCCGATAGCATCGCCCCATCGCCCATCGCCGATAGCATCGCCCATCCTTTGCATCGCCCATCGCCAGCGGAGCCAGGGCGACAAAGGAGTGCGGAGGGCGGCGCTCGCGTTTCTGCACGGGCTCCCGCTGTTCCGCGGCGATTGCACCGAGGTGGGCACGGAGCAAACGCTTCCTGACAAGACTGGCCTTGTGGCTCACCAGGGCCACTCTGGCTCCGACCGAACTCGGGAGGCGGCCTTCCTCGGCCGCCAAGCCTGGTAGCTCGTCCGCCGCAGTGCTCCCTAGGATCATGCAGGGCGGGTGCTGGCCCTGGGCGGCCTGGGGGGGCAGAAAGATGGGACGGGACCTGGAGGACAAGGACATCCAACAGCTCACTCCGCAAATCCTGAACTTTGCCACGCTTGCGCAAGTACGGCTGTCGAAGGGAGGAGGTGATTGGAGCAGAGGACTAGGTAGGTAGGTAAGACGCTGACTTAGGACTGCTGCCCGTGTTCTGCTCTGAGAGCCAGCCTCACTTCCCCTGTGAGGCTGGCCTAAGGAAGTGCGAAAAGGGTGAAAGGTTCCGCCCACGGGGCTCGCGCCGCGCGAGCTTGGGCAGCCTCTGCAGCTCGCTTGGCAGCCTGTCGCTGAGCTCTTGCCTCCCGCCGCTGCCTCGCCACCTCTCTGTTTGCGGCGACTCTGGCGAGCTGCGCAGGGGTGAGGGGGGGAGGCGGCGGCGGCGGCAGCGGGGAGGAGGGAGGACCAGGGCCCAAGAGACCAAGGAAGGATGAAGGTGGGCGGGCGGAGGAAGAGACGGAGCAAACGGAGCGATGGGCACGGCAAGAGTCCGCGAGACCTGCAGCGTGTCGGTCTCCCTGTGGATCTGATCCTTCACGAAGCAGAAGCGCTGGGTGCCGTAGGGGACGCGCCCGTTGAAGGCCTCCCTCCTCTGTCCCCGCATGAATATATACTTTTGACGCTCCGCTCGGCTTTCTTGGATCTGCGCTGGACCCCCTTCCCTGACGCGCGCCAAGGGCGGCGCCGGAGAAGCCGCCAGGGGGACTCTGCGCAGATCCAAGAAATCCGCGCAGAGCGCAAACAAGTTATGTTCGTAGCGCTTTTCTTCTTCGATTCATACCAACAGAGATCGCGCAGTAAGAAATATTAAGGCATATCTTCCATCGATGTCTGGAAGTCCTGCGCAAGCGCCAGAGCTTCTGTGGCCCCCCAAGGCCATCGGGGGATAAGGAACTTCTGTGGGGGACCTGCTGGTAGGCCCCGTTGTGTTTACGTGCCAGGCACTTCGCCTCGGAGACCGACCTGCCAGCGGGGGGCCCCGCGGAGGGCTCTTGTCCCCCAGCGGCTGAAGGACCAAAGGCTGTTTGCTGTTTCCGGTCTCTGGGAATCCGGGGCCAGGCCCCGGGACTGTCAAACAACGGCCTGGGATGAGAAGCCGGCCCCTGGGAATGGGTCTTGAGCAGGGACCGACCGTCCCGGCATTCCTATAGTCCTACCACGAAATGTTCTTAGAACCCACACATGTTCTAATAACAAAAACAATGTTCTTAGAACATATTCCCAGTTTGAGAAAACAAGACAGTCCCAACCAGAAATGTTCTAAGAACATTTCATGGAAGCCACAAACGGTTCTTAGAACGTTGTGTGGTAGGGCTATAGGCGAGCCAGGACGCTTCGCCACTGCTTGAGGGTCGAGACCTCTGGGTGTCGACGCTGTGAAACACATGCGACGTCGGGGGTCTGGGTATACACCGGGGGCCCTGGCTCTGAGGCCGCCCGCCTCCTGAGGGCCTTGGGCCACCGTGCGGTGCTCAAGGGCGACGAGGAGCGTGTGCCCCGAGATGCCTGCCGCGGCCCGGCCCGCTTGCGCGCCATCTCGGCAAGGGTGTCGCCTCGAGGGGGCCGGGCAGCGCGACAGCAGGCCAGCCGCAGAAGTGGCTGCGCCCCGAGCCGCGCGCAGACGGCGCCTCGGACTGCTCACTGCAGGCAACCTGCAATGGTTCCGCCGTCCCAAGGACCCCCGGCCATTCTATTCACTGCCGTGGCTTCTTGGTGCGGAGGATCGGGTGTTGCTAGAAGTACCCCTGGCCCAAGGTGCCCCCAGCTTTTCGCTCCATTTTGGAGCCCCTGGGGCCCTCTGGGCCCTGCGAGGGGTGCCCTGAAGGCCACCTGGGCCACCCCGAGAATCCTGGGGGTACCTTGGGCCAGGGGTACTTCTAGCAGCACCCGAAAGGAAGGGGCGCGAGGAAAGTGGCCCGCGGCGACCGAAACGCCATGCTCTCTCTGCTGATGCCCCGTGGCCTCTTGGAGGCAGCTGGGGGATCCTCGACGCCTCTCTCCGGACCGCCCCGTGCCCTCGACGTCGTGGTGGCTTTCACGGCCTGGGCCGCGGATACCTCGGCCCCATCCCAAGCACACCGATTTCAACGGAGGGCATGGCGACCCCAATCCCCGACTGTGTTCGGGGGTTGCTAAAGGTGCCCCTGGCCAAAAGTGCCCCAAGCTTCGTGCATGTTGGAGCCCCTAGGGCCCTCTGGGCCCTGCGAGGGGTGCCCTGGAGGCCACCTGTGCCACCCCGAGAATCCTGGGGGCACCTTGGGCCAGGGGTACTTCTAGCAACACCCGATGTGTGTAGGGACCGCAGAGCACATCGGCAGGGGTGCGTCCGAACAGTCCCCTGGGTGTACATCCTCGCGATCTCCTCTCTTCCTGAGCGGCCATCTTGTCTCTGGGGGACGTTCGAAGATTGAGGGATCGAACTCGCCTGCGAGGCTTTCGCAGTGGGCGCGACTTGCTGCTGGCCCTAGGCCCCCAGAGCGTCACCCCAAGCACCGAGATCTGGAGAGTCTTACAACGCGGGCCCTGTTGGTCCCCGGCCTCGCTCGGTTCTCTCCTTTTTCCATTTCTCGGACAGCAGCGCCAGCCCTCTGTCGCATGAGCCGAGGGATGGCTGGCCGCGCGCGGAGCGAGGAGGAGGGAGCCAACTGATGTGTCTGGGAGGCACAGGGAGGAGGCCAAGGACGCCACCCCCGAGACGGATCTCATGCCAGTGGCCCCCCTGAAGCGGGCTCCTCGCACGGGCACCCAGCGAATCACCGGCCATCCTCGACGCGAGCAGTGTGGCAAAATGCCCGAAGCAGGCCCGCGAGTGGCAACCATTGGCCCTCGGGTGATGACGACGGTGGTTCGCACAGGCACCTCCAGCCAGCGACCCAGCGAATCACTGGCCATCCTCGACGCGAGCAGCGTGGCAAAATGCCCGAAGCAGGCCCTCGAGTGGCAACCCTTGGCCCTCGGGTGATGACGACGGTGGTGATGGTGAGGTGGAGGGCGGAGGAGGGGACGAGGGCAAACGGGCCAAGGCAGCGCAGTAGAAGCACCCGAGAAGTCATCCTGCCATGGGGGATCTTGGGGCACCTTCT